GAAACACAGACATTTTATTTTTTCCCTAAATTCTAATTTGTCCTTCATGTGACTACAGGCCTCAATATATTCAACTATGAATCCCTACCCTCTTTATGTAGGTACAGTTATCTCCAAAAATATAACCACAAGGGCATATGCAGTCAGGACAGTATTAAAAAAATTAAATCTGATCATGGTGGAGTCAAGGAAGGCGAAGACTGGGAAGTAACTAGAAACACATGTAATACTACTGAGCACCACTTACAAGAACCCACTGGCAGTAAAATTTGATGGTAGAACTTTATTGTTTGTTTTAAAAGATAAACTCACTAAACAAAGGCATTCTGCATGTCAGGTATTGCTTTTATTGCCACAAGGATTAGAAGCCACAAGCTCAGACTGCATTTTCCCAGTTGCCATAAAACGTGAGGCAAAAAGATTTCCTGTGGGCAAAGAGCAGCTGAGCATTACTGCAGTCCTCAGGTCTCCCTCCCATCCCAACACATCCAACAAAAATGAACTGTAAACTACCACAGGCTACTGATCTCTGGGTTTTCATGGTAACAACAAAAAAAAAAAGCCAGAGAACTGACCTCAATTTAGCAATTTACCAAAGCACCACTCTCAGACAACTCCATTAGGCCAAAAATTGCCAGGATTTATACACAGATCACATGAGATCAAGACTTCCTAATAACAGACACACAACAAGAACAAAACCAAAAGGGAGCAACAATCAAATTAAATAAGGACTGACAGAAGTAGGAGCTAAGATCAAAAAATGCAGCTGAATGGAACAAGCTGGATTCCTGTCCAAAGTCAGGGGAAGGGTTGTGATCCTGTCTCCTTCCCACTCCTACAGCTACCAGAACCTCTGTACAGGGCATTTCTCTTTCTGTTTTGGTAAGGGTAGAAACAAGGACACAAATGCAATCAAAAGAATCTGAATGATCCTACTGACATATTAGGTTTTGGGTTTTAATACTGAAACTTTAGATGATCTAAGTATTAAAATGGTACACTCTGCTAGCAAATAGTCTGAGATTTGAACAAACAATAATCCCAATTCCTTCCCAGTTACCTTAAGGATCACAATAAATTTACATTCAAAATACAGTAAACCAAAGAGATTTAAAAAATTTACTTTTAGGCTGGTTTTGACTGTGCTGTTGTGGCTTTAAAAACAAATGTTTGGCTAACAGGGCCAGTGCTATCTCAGCCATTTTACATTTCATCAGGCAGTATCAACTGAACTTGGAGCAGGAATGAAAACACCAGTGAGACCCTTTAGTGCAGAACACTCACACACTCACTGCAATCCTTCCAGATGCATGCAAGCACTTGGCATACAGAAAATTTACTGACACTATGGTCAGGTTTTACCATTTCTGTGGAGAACTATGAAGAATAAAACTACAGAGATGGCTTATTGGCAAAGCCATTGAAAAGGCACAGTAGAGCATTTTATACTCTCTGTTCAGAGTCCTTCTATCCTTCTTTACTACTAATATATTCCAGAAATGAGACATAGTGAACTGCATGTAATTATCTTACTCAATTTCCATACAACAGACATTTCTTTTATTGCATAAACCCACATATTCCCATCTTCTCCTTTAAAAATGGAGACAGTGAGTGGTTTAAGTAATTACAGCTGTCATGGAGGGTTTGACAAATAACTTTTCTGCTCAATGTATGCTTTAGGCCACTGGGAAAGCTGTCAAATAATGACATCACAATCTACATTAGTGCTGGCAAAATGCAACTGTGCTTTCTTTCACATTTAACTCAGGTGGTTTAGGGCCCTTCTTTTTCCTACTCTGTGGTCAAGAACATGAGTGGGATGAACAAGTGGGTTGTAACTCAAATAAAATGGGGAGAGATAATGAATGTTCAATGAAAGCATGAAAGAAAATGAAAAGAAAAAGTATGAAAGCATATTCTTCATTTGATAATGAAGAAGCTTGCTCATTCTTCACCATCAATGAGCTTTGTAAACCTGCTCACTTTCTAAAAGTCTAATTAAGCTGTTAGGGAGGAACAGAAAGGAATGAGATACTCTTTCAATATCTAAGTTATTAGTTATTACTGCACTGCATTTCTTGCACATCCCTCACATATGAGAAGACAAGGGGTGTGACTGCATCACACACTGCAGAGTCACCTTCCTGCTAATCCGTGCCAAAGCTCTCCAGACTATCCCATCTTCAGTTTGATTTTACAGGGGATCTGAATTCCTGTCAAAGCACAAACAACTAGAAACCCACTCGTGCTTTATTGCCTGCTGAAGTTACAGGCTCAGTTCTGAGAGTAACCTCGAGCACTGATCTTGGTTTGAAAAGTCCCATGTGGGTTTCCATCATCTGGAGACAGCAGTGCCCAGAAGCAGCCAAGGCTCTGACATGACCAGAGAATCCAGTTCCCAGTGAAAAGTTTATGCACTGAAGAAAATGATTAATGACAAACTTAACTTTTCCACCTAAAAGAAATACTGTATTGTAAAGTTCAAAAATAAAATGCAGCAAACCTGGCCTGGTTTTGCTGCTCTGGTGACAGTTTAGTGAGTGGTTAATAATGGTACCTAGAAGCTATTACAGTTAATAGTAACCAGGGTTACTATTAGTCAAATTTGAACCCATATAAGGTCCAAAAAAATGTGATCTTCCCATTGATTTAACATCTGGAAATGCATGTTATGGCTGACATCACCCACCATCAACCTCAAAATCCACACAGAGCACCCAGCTAGACCTGATCAAACCCCTGATCTCCAACACCCTGTTCCTGCTGACCTGCTGTGCTGGTTCACCTGCGTTCAGAGCAGCTGCCAGGGGCTGTGCCAGGGCTTGGGGCAGGGAGACCCTGGTTTATGGCAGGGCAGTGAGGGATGTGATTCATTCCCATCCATGTGCTCACACTGACATGCAGTTACTTTTATTGCTCCAAGAATGGGAATGAGCTGCATCAGTACATGATTCACACCAGAGAGGTGTCTGCTCAGGCACACGAGGAGGAAGGTTTGCACATCGTTGTTTTGTCTGCAGTTTTGTAACTGAATTTGTAACTTGGGAGCAATTCCAGCCATTTTAATGAAACACAGACATGCAGCACCTCATGTGCTTGGAGCCTGTGGCACAGCATGTAGGAAGGCTCTTGGGAGTCTACAGTGTAGGGTGTTGTTTGAAGTGTTTACTCTAGGTGTTTATAACACCTAACACACAAATACATTGTATCATGTTATTTGTGGCTAGTCCCATACACAAGAATTTTAAGTCTCCTCCCATGGACAAAATTGTGCCCAGAGTTATTAAAATGAAGTCACTGAAGAGACCATGCTAAAAAAAACCAAAAAGCACAAGATGAAGTTATTTACAGCAGCCTAAAACACGGAATTTAAACATAATGTGTGTCCCCACACACAGTCAATAAGCAGTGCTTTTTACAACTTAAGAACAGTTCTAGCTTTTTTCTGAGGTTCATTGTGATGATAAAAGCACAAAAGTGTATGGCATGCACTGCTGCTTATTAGCATTTAATGCTTCTTGAACAACTACAATGCAAATATTCTTCACAATAGATGGGAACCTTGGTGGGAACAAGAATTCCCACAAATTGTTTAAGAGTACAGTAAATGAATAGTGTTATAAACAAAAAGCCCAAACCCCTCACAAATGTGTATGCTGTGTTGGCTTACAGATTAGTCCACTACACATGCATTGTGCAACTGCACTTGTACAAAAGAAACAAAAAACACCTCAAAAATTTATATCCCAACAAGAAGTGCTTTCTATGTATAGCTGTGTTCAAGACAAGCAAACCAGTGCTGTCTCAAGGCTTGCTTGAGTTTTCATGAGTGTTTCTTTTGTTAGTGACAGATTTTTGCATAAGTAGCATGTGACAGGACAGAATATGAAGTCAAGAGAATTTTAAAGAAGGTTCCATTTTGAATCACTTAACAACAGTGTAACCAGCACTTACAAACACAATAACTTGAAAAGTGATGTTGGAAGCTTATTTCTAAGCTTTCCAGCTACAACAATACTAAAAAGTCTACATTTCAAAGCTTCAAACAGATGGCACCTTTTAAAGTTACTTTGACTTCACTTATACAAACACAATCAAAATAAACTAAATTTAATCGACATCATGTATTAAGAAGATTTCTACATCTGTACAAACTCTCATTTCCCAACTCTCAGCTCTCTAGCTCGTACACTAATATGCAAACACAGATGTGTTTTCACTTGTGATCAAGGTACTTACAGTCAAAGTATAGTTTTTTAGTCTATTCTTATGAATACATTTAAGGAATAGAGCGAACAAAAGCCCTAATGCTTACTGTACCTTGTAAAGTAATTAACAATCTTTAATATCCTTAAGTCCATGCTATACAGGGAGAAAAAAAGCAAAGGCTGTGATTATATTCATGGTATCTTTCATATCTTCTTATGGCTGTTTGAAATTACAATAATAGAAGCATAAGAGCTTATAGAGTTTACAAAGAACAGTTTCTTTAGCATACACACACCTGACAGCCCTTCTTGGGAAGCTGGTTTCCCGTGTCAGCAGGACAAGATGAGAGATTGTGAGGGAGCACACAAATGTGCATATACACACATTCACACACAGACGTATCAGAGCCAGAACAAGACTAGCTAAAATCACAGCAGCGAGCAGCAAAGCTGAGAAAAACCTCACAACGCTCTTTAAAACACTTCCCCATAAAGGAAACATTTTACAGCAGAGATGATGAAGTAAAAAAACCCCTACAATGGGAGAGATCTCATCAGACGGGCAAAGGAAGAACCCTGCCAGAGCTCCTCCATCCTGCCTCGAGAGCCGAGGAGAGGAAGGGCGGAGAGCGAAGGGAGGAGGCGAAACCACCTTCAATTTAACGAATAGACAGCAAATTGGTCACCTCAGACTCAGGCCCGAGCGAGGGGCTGGTAGGGCAGCCAGGACGCCCAGAGCCCCCGAGAGTCCCCGCTCCCATTCCCCCCTCACGCCCTGTTCCTCACCAGCCTGGGTGGTGTCGCTGAGATCGTGGTTGGCGGCGCTGGCCCGCGGATAGTCCCGGAGCTTCCTGCCGCTCAAACTGAGGGTCCCGCTGATCGCCGCTTCTTCCAGGGCTCGGTCCAAGGAGCGGCTCCAGGAGCCGGGAGCCGAGGGACCGGGCGGAGCGGGACAAGCCGCGGGCATCGCGGCAGAGCCGCCCTCCGGCGCCGCCATTTCCCCGCCACAGCCCGGCCAGACAGCGCATGCCAGAGCGCGCGGCAGGGGCGCATGCGCGGCCGCCGCCCGGCGGCTCCGGCACCGCGCGGGCACCGCGTCCGTCCGAGCCGGGCTGAGCGGGGCCGAGCCGAGCCGGGCCGGGCCGGGCCGGGCCGAGCCGGGCCAGCCGCTCCTCGGGGCCGCGTCTTCCCGCCCGCCTCGGCTCAGCCGGCGTGCAAGGGGATCGCCGCCCCGGACACGCCTGGACACCTGCTGGAACTGTTAAAAGTTATAGTTTTCCCGCCAATGTGGGATGTCACAGGATGGTTTCTGGGTGAGCATCGCTCACAGCTGCTGGGTGTCGGGCCCGTGCCAGCAGCAAAGCAAGGGCAGAGCGCACAGATCTCCGCCAAGTGGAAAATGCAAAACTGCTTCACGTTTTTTAACTTAAGGATTGATTACATTAAAAGGCCACACCCTTTGCTACATCTTAATAAATGCCATTTACCCCTGCTGCTTCCACCGAACCCACCTGATGCTGCAGCCAACACACGCGAGCTGCTAATGAAGAACAAAGGGTGTCAATAATCAAGTAGCAAGACAACCACAATATTTAACACCTTATCAGATATATCTGCAGGCAGTATTTAGTCCTGCACCGACAATTGATAGCAGCATTTCCAGCGCTTTGTGCCTCCTGCTGGCACAGCACTCGCACACAGCCGGGAAGGGCTCGGGCTGTTCTGCAGCACAAGGTGTTGATGACAGCGATTCTCGCTATCAGACATGTCACAGCAGCAATCGCTGACACATCTGGCACTCTCACCACACCAAATCACTGAGTTAGGAAGTGCTACTGAAACATTAATTAGTAGCTGACACATTAAATGGAAGTGAGCCTCCGCAGTGGCACTCCAAGAAGTGCTCCCTTGTCAGAGTATTAAGGTGGGCAAGGAGTGTGAACCCTCTTTTAAGTTAGGTTGCTTTCTACTGTTTTCTTCAGAATATTTAATAAGAATTTGATTAATAAGAACCCCTTGCAAGCTATCAGAAAATTCATATAACCAGTATATTGCCCAGGTGGTTATAACAGGAACAAGACAATATAAAACCTGTAACTTTTTATTAAAAAAAAAAATTAACAGCTTCAGAATAGATCAAATGTAATAACTTCTCCAAAAAATACCAAAAGGTACAGTGTAAAGCATCTTCTCATTAAATACAAACTAGCACTTTTGATGCACTGCATCAATGTTTTGCATCTAGGCTGATGCAAAAGAATTTTTTTGTTGCATCCTGGCACATGAAAAACGTATACACTGAAACAGGATGACTGACTACTCTTTACCTAGTCAAATTCTAACAGTGGGACATTTATTAAAAAAAAAATAAATCTTAATAGTAGTTGAGAAAGAAACCTTAACACCATTACATTTAGTCTGCCTCTGCTAAGGTATATCTTCCAACATTAAAAACAAGGGTTTAAGTCCTATTTAGCATCAGAGTGCACTCTGACTTCAAAACGATACCCAAAAAAAAAAAAAAAGCCCTTCTGCTGTCAAGTGCTCTTCAAGGTTGAAGTTGCCAGTACATGCTAGTTAACTTGGAATTTGAGATAAAAATGCAAGGAAACCAACTCTGTCAAACATAAATTCTTCAAGAATGTGAAAAGGAGTTAAACCTGCTTCAAACACCATAAACATTCCTGGATGCAGCAAGCCAGCCCCTCTTGTACCTGACGATACCTAACCCTCCTCACCAAAAAGCAGTGCCAAGATCATCAATGCCTGGTCTGGAAGCAATTCTGAAGAGGTGCCTCAGTTTTAGGGATTATATAAATACAGATTGAGGATGCCCCACTTGTTACTATCCTGCAGATTCTGATGCACAGAGCTATGCTTAAAGCAGGTGGCTACATGTTCCTGCCTAATGCCTTACACACGCTGGCAAAGTGAGGGCTTTCCTCCAGAAACGTTCCTCAGTTTCAGACAATTTCCAGATGTCTGACCACTTTGGATCAGCTTCACATCTTACCTCTCTTTGGTATAAACAAACAAGTGCCACAAGATTGCTTGCCTCCAGCTATTTTTAAGTTAGAGAAAACCCTCTGGGGCAAAATATGCAGGATGAGAATCCTGTATCTGGGAGGGCAAGAAACTCTACCATACTGCTGACTTCCTTGTGAAGGAAGGCTCAAAAACATGAAGTTATTGCATTTAGTTTGTGAAAAACATTTCAAAAAGAAATAAAAATCAGAAATATAAGAAGAAAAGGAGATGGATAAACTCCATTTACAGAGGAGAATGATGAAGTTGAGCTATTTGGAACACAAAGGACTCTCACACTGCCTCTGCAGTATTCCTCCAATATGTATATGATCTGGACCACTTTTAAGGATAAGAGTAGAATAGTCTCCATCCCAGTTACAAATTTTGGGTCTCAGCTAACAGCTTTATTTGTGAATGTGAGGATGCAAAACAGTTTTCAAGAAAGGAAAAAAATGGAACTTTAAAAGCACAAAGAAGTACAGAACCAATGCTCCCATGAAAAATGCCGCTACATCGCTACCAAAGGATCCACGGACTGAGGCTCTGTGCTAAACTGGTCTCTGAAAGAGCTCAAAGGCAGTCCCTAAAAAACCCTAAAATGGGGTTTGTAATTAAACACTTAAACAATCTTTACCATAACAGAGGGGTCAAAGAACTCAGCTGGGCAACAGAATCTTTTCCAACCAGGTGATGGTGCAACTACGTGGGATCAGTTTCTTTCCACTTTTCTCCCTCAGGGCATTAAAGTCTTTTACCGTTCCAAGTAAAAGTAATAAAGAGAGATAGCTCTGCCACCATCTTAGCAAAATGTCTGGAGAATTCTAGTGACATATGCTGTATTCTTCTGCCCACTTCTATTTCAGGGGCTTAGGTAGGTGGGCTCAGTGCCCAAGTCCATCTGCCGGGTTAGCCCACTGTTACAAAACGGCTTCCTTTGTTCTGAGACAGCGCTGTCCTCTGCTCCTTCAGGATCCCAAATCGCTCGTTCAACGTCATCCCTGTCTGAAAAACAAAGTAATTTAACCAAAACTTTAAAGGTGTTAGGTTACAGAACAGTTTTTTCTTCAGTCTATATCATCACTTGACTCCTTAGTTGCCTCACGTGGATTTTTTGTCACTTCCCACACCATTTAAAAATCAGACTGGACTACAGATCCATAGCTTGCATTTTCAGAATTCATTAAGAACACATGGTATGTAATGTCAATACTCAAAGCCTACTCAAAATATTTTCAGTTAAATTGAGGACAAACAGACTGAAAAATGGAACTTCCAGTACACATTTCCCCACACAGATTCTCTGCAATTTCAACAAATGCAACATTTTCACCATTTTAATTCAAGTTGCTTTCCAGTTCACTCAGCTACAGCAGCAAGCTGGAGTCTAATCCAGAAGTTTGATTAATTTTACACTACATTAGTGGACTTTCTGACATAGTTCTTATTCCTGGATGGAACAAATGCAGATTGATGCCCTGACTCCATGCAGATTTCTACAGCTGGCACTAAGGAGCTGATTAAAAGAACAGTGTCAAACTTTGTCACCCTGTAAGAATCCCTTCCATGACAGCATTAGGATTGTTGCACCAAATCACCTGTCTTCATGAAACTTGTCAAAAATTGCTCATCTTTCAAGCCCTTAAATGCTCACATTTAGTTTTTGGGTTTTTTTCCTAGGTGGACAGCAAAAGTTGCCTTATAAATTTGGCTGCCAGGGTTCCAGGCAGGTGACACAGCTGAAAGCAGCTCATCTCTGAATTATTCACAGTTGCTGATGCAAGCAGAGCAAGGACACCTTTTAGAAATCTTCAACATTTTAAATCCCATTTAAATCATGTGGGCATGCAAGGCATGAACTAGAAGAACAGGAACAGTGAGTTTAGCTACTTGCTTGAAGTTACACAGGGAGTTAGCAGAAAGCCTGGAAGTGGAAACAAAAGTAGTCACCAGTTCTCTCTTTCTGTCACTTGGCAGTCAAGGAGCAAAGTGCCTCACTGGCTTTTACTGGTCTTGAAACTACTTTCACAGTTGCAAGAGGAAAATTGCATTTACCTGTTTTCCAACACTATTTATATCAAACTGCAATGGAACCCCTTTTGGAATCTTCTTCTCTTCAGATTGGTCCCTCTTCATCAGAAACGATGGCACAGGACTACGAGTTAATCGTAATTTCTGGGAACTGTGAAAAAAGAATGTTACAAAGAACATGATGAACATGTGTTTTATGCAAGAAAGCCTTAATGCTGATAGAGGTATGAATTTTTCATCAAACCATTTGACCAGGCTGGCTAAAAAGCTGGAGGGCACAAATTCAAGAAGGTAAGTCAGGCAGAACTAAAAAAGGGACCATTTGTTATTGTTATCAGACACAAAGAGTCCCAGCAGGAAACCATCTTATTTTTTATCTGCAATTCTACTGACAAATGTGTAATTTGTGGTTAATTAATCCTATAAATACAAAAAATAAAAATTGGTACAGTCTTCCTTACTGATAAAACGGTACCAAGGAAATGCTAATCAAGACATTTTTAAAATGTAACACTTTAACAACGGTACCATCAGCTTCCCAAACACAAATACAGCAATGGTCTCTTTAAGCACAAGTCCAGCAGTATTTTTATGAATCAGGAAGTAACTGTTACCATTACATATCAAGTAGGTGCTCATTTATTTCCACTACGAGGTGGAAAACAGCTGTGACATGGCTGGATTTGGAAGGGACAAAGTGAAAATCTACCAGCCCACCACTCTTCCACTCTATACACCACATCAAGCTCCTAACTGGGAGCTGACATGTGAGATCCAGCTGTGATATTATTCAAACACTGCTCAGAAACACTCAGAAAGGGGCCAGGCTTAAAAGCCTTCACAAGTAGCTATGACTTTGAGGTCACCTGAAACAATACCTGCAAGGAATGCACTAAATGGTTCAAAGCAGCAATTTCATTTATGTTCTGAACATTTCACAAC